GTGCGTGCGTGCGTGCGTGCGTGCGTGCGCGCGTGCGCGCGTATGTTAATCGTCTGCTATCTGTGACGTGTAGATCTGTAGTCTACTGCGGGGAGGCATAGCGGAGCGCTGCACTGCTTGCTGTCAACCACGCTCGAATCACGCCGATGACTTCATCTCAGTGCTTCCACTAACCCGTCCCCGGACGTTGAGCCCGTTGGCAATAACAAAATTAGTCTCAACATTATAGTCTCAACATCAACTTTTCTTCTCGTAGACTGGACCGTGTTTTGTCAACAGTTTATGAGAAAAACTCGATGTGAGGACTAATGTTAAGTCTAATTTTCGTTTCTGTCAACGGGCCTCTATAGACATTGAACGTCGTTGTATTAGATTTATCGTGTTTGTGTAGAGTGTTACAATGCAGACGACATCTCGTTATGCATGGATAGTTTTGCAATAACACGCGCGCGTGCTTTATTCGTTTTAATAGTTGTCCCGTCGCTGCCTGTCAGAATCATTAACTCTGACGTTGTGTAAATACTGTTTATTACGCGGAGACATTCTACGCGGAGAGTTTATTAGAAAGCAGCGAGACGATGTGTGTGTGTGCGTGTGTGCGTGTGTGCGTGTGTGCGTGCGTGCGCGGGCGTGCGTGCGTGCATGCGTGCGTGCGTGTTCGTGTGTGCGTGTGTGCGTGTGTGCGTGCGTGCGCGGGCGTGCGTGCGTGCATGCGTGCGTGCGTGTTCGTGTGTGCGTGTGTGCGTGTGTGCGTGCGTGCGCGTGCGTGCGCGCGTAATGGTTAATTCGTCTCGCTATCTGTGAACATGTAGAATCTGTAGTCTACCTGCGGAGGGCATAGCGGAGCGCGGCGAGCGGCGTGCGCGCATGTAGACACCGCATCATAGAGATCAACGACAACAAGCGGTCGTCGCCGTGCCACACGATCGCATCGTCAACCTACTGGCGACATCTATCGCGAGGTAGGTTTGTTAATCAGGGGGGGGGGGGTAGTTTTTGTTAATCAGGGAGGCATACATCATAAACATAGAAACAATACACTACGCTAGTCTATCTACCCATTTCTAGCATCGTAACGCGTCGCTCGTCAGGCGCAGTGGGATTTTAACACGAACCCTGGTAACGTGAGCTGAACTTGAGATGCGCTAGCAACATGTTGGCCACCTCTGCTGCCTTACAATTACCGAATTCTCCCACATTGGTGTGAGTGCTCAATGTAGAAGTGTACATGTTATAGCACTCTTAAGCTTGATACGTACTTTGCTGTGCGTGAATGATGAATCTTCGAGCATGCGTTGCAGATATCACATGAAACGATGCCTACGTCTATGTTCGCGGCTGCTCACATGGTCAGGAAGTACCTGTCTACATTCTGATCAGGACGAATCAGCCAAAGCCACGCGTCACACTGTCACCGGCGCCACCCGTGGCGTGCGTCTATAGGAGCAATAAAAATAGACACACTGTACATTATATAATATATGAGTGTGATGTGTGTAGGATGGTATACATACATAATAATATATATATTTTTTTATACTAATATATACATGTGTATCCACTCCGATGTGCGTGAGAAACAAAATGGCGTGCAGATGAACAAGTGAACATGTTAGGTCTGCAGCAGTGGTGACTTAGTGAAGCACACCATCTTGTGGTGGTGGGAATGTACGTAGCCGTGCCACCACAATGTGAAACTCTAGCCGAGAGTTGCCGTTGCCATGGCGACATAGCGATGCAGCCGTGAGTTAAGGTGTTCGCCTCTCCCATGACAACCAATCACGACGAGGCGAGGTCAACGCTTCACTCATCGCTGTTACCATGACTACCGATCACGTCATGTCGACGTCGTCCCTTCCTGGAACTTCACTTGGACATCGTCCCTTCCTGGAACTTCACTTGGACGTCGTCCCTTCCTGGAACTTCACTTGGACGTCATCCCTTCCTGGAACTTCACTTGGACGTCATCCCTTCCTGGAACTTCACTTGGACGTCATCCCTTCCTGGAACCTCACTTGGACGTCATCCCTTCACAAAATTTCTATTGTGAACCTCGTGACAATAGTGCATGTGCAGGTGTGTAGGAGGAATGGGATGAGCAAGGTTGAAGGGAGGAAGAGCGACCGTACACGATCGATGGACGACCACCACGCGACATGAGAGCTCTATATACGGTGCAGCTGAATCCATGGGACTTTTATAGGAACACACATCGTAACACGTCGCACACTGTTGCCAGCGCCACGCGTGCGTGCGTGTGTGCGTGCGTGTCACTGAACGCGCGTGTGGGAGCATGTTCCCGCGATGTTGGAAGACGGATGGGATGTAGGGTGGGTGGGTTAGGGTGGGACGGGACTGAGGGGGGGGGGGGTAGCTTGATTTGCATTGCCTGTGGTCGGGTGGGGCGAGCCGGCACGCGCTGGTGTTGAGTTGGTCCCCGCCATGGTTTTATAAAGATTTTATGTGTTATGTAATATATAATAGGTTGCCGTCATCTTGCGACCAATGTTGCTTATACATTTGCCATCGGTTACTTCACTAGATGTAATGAAATAGAGAGAACGTAGCCGCGGGAAAATTATGGGGCAAGAGAGAGAGGTAGATAGATAGATAGATAGATAGAGAGAGAGAGAGGGAGAGAGAGAGAGAGAGAGAGAGAGAGAGAGAGAAAGAGAGAGAGAGAGAAGAGAGAGATTAATAACTCGGTGTAAAATGGATGAACACGACTTGATAAAAGACAAGGTAAAATCGTTCGTAGCCAAGTTTTTCTGAACTGTTGTTGGCGCAAAATAACATACAGTGTATATGTGTTATTGTGTGCGTTAGAGAAGGTGAGCTACCACACGGGAGAAGATATAGTGTATGTCGTAGCCAAACGAACACGAATCAAACCAGTGATGCAGTTGTCTCTGGATCGGTGTCAAACTAACGGCAAAGTTGATGACAAGTGATTATTCGAACATCAAAATGCGTGTCTGTAACTGAACATGATGTTATAACTATATTCCTGCGTTATATATATATATATATATATA